ACTTACTTTGTACAAGTGTATAGACCTATGTTTTTGTTTGACTGACTTACTTTGTACAAGTGTATAGACCTATGTTTTTGTTTGACTGACTTACTTTGTACAAGTGTATAAACCTATGTTTTTGTTGGACTGACATACTCTGTACAAGTGTATAACCTATGTTTTTGTTTGACTGACTTACTTTGTACAAGTGTATAGACCTATGTTTTTGTTTGACTGACTTACTTTGTACAAGTGTATAAACCTATGTTTTTGTTGGACTGACATACTCTGTACAAGTGTATAACCTATGTTTTTGTTTGACTGACTTACTTTGTACAAGTGTATAGACCTATGTTTTTTTTTTGACTGACTTACTTTGTACAAGTGTATAGACCTATGCTTTTGTTTGATTGACTTACTTTGTACAAGTGTATAACCTATGTTTTTGTTTGACTGACTTACTTTGTACAAGTGTATAGACCTATGTTTTTGTTTGACTGACTTACTTTGTACAAGTGTATAACCTAGGTTTCTGTTTGATTGACTTACTTTGTACAAGTGTATAACCTATGTTTTTGTTTGACTGACTTACTTTGTACAAGTGTATAGACCTATGTTTTTGTTTGACTGACTTACTTTGTACAAGTGTATAACCTAGGTTTCTGTTTGATTGACTTACTTTGTACAAGTGTATAACCTATGTTTTTGTTTGACTGACTTACTTTGTACAAGTGTATAGACCTATGTTTTTTTTTGACTGACTTACTTTGTACAAGTGTATAACCTAGGTTTCTGTTTGATTGACTTACTTTGTACAAGTGTATAACCTATGTTTTTGTTTGACTGACTTACTTTGTACAAGTGTATAGACCTATGTTTTTTGTTTGACTGACTTACTTTGTGCAAGTGTATAGACCTATGCTTTTGTTTGATTGACTTACTTTGTACAAGTGTATAACCAATGTTTTTGTTTGACTGACTTACTTTGTACAAATGTATAGACCTAGGTTTTTGTTTGACTGACTTACTTTGTACAAGTGTATATACCTATGTTTTTGTTGGACTGACATACTTTGTACAAGTGTATAACCTATGTTTTTGTTTGACTGACATACTTTGTACAAGTGTATATCCTAGGTTTTTGTTTAACTGACTTACTTTGTACAAGTGTATAGACCTGTGTTTTTGTTTGACTGACTTACTTTGTAGACTTACCCCGACATACACTGTATCGTGATCCGACAACCCTGGCAGTGTGGTCACTCGGCAGACCAAGGTGGGATTGTTTGTCATGAAAACATCCATCATATTATCCTCGCGGGTTGGTTTATTTACCATTTGTACGATGTTACGATCGTCCATGATATTGATAAACTCTGGTATATGGGAGTGATGGGCTAATCGTCCTTCAAGTTTGGTATAGGATCCTTCGATGTGAGTTTGGGGAATTAAATCACCCAATATCCCAGTATGACACTCAGCGTTTGTTTTTTAATTTAATGTGTCCAATGATTTAGCAAACTCTCCCACACTCACCTTATCATGCTCATTTGGCTTGGAAAAGGAGGCTACAACCACAGTACCCAAATCAACTCACAAATGGTTGTACTACAAATTATATCATTTCGAGCCAGAATGATAACGTCACCACCTCTAGCACCCGTTTTTCTGTCCAGGCGAAATGGGCTATATCCAGGGACTTAAAAAATACCTCACTATCGATGATGTGTTTCTGTTCCTGTGACAATATCTGGTTTTATATTGTCTAGCATGGTATGGAATTCTGATTTTTTTGTGAAAATTTGTATTTCAAGTGGCGTTCTTACCGTCGGCTTGGGGTTTGATTGGGGTCGATGTCATGGCTGGGCTAGATTCCTCATGACTTTCCTCTAAGTTATCAAACACATTGGATGATGTAACAGTTGTTTACACGGTGTGATTTCTTTGCTGGAACACTCTGCCACTGATCAGGTCTGGCGGGGGTCGATGTAGATTGTTTACATTTTGTATGGTTGGGATTACCGAGCCGTAAAGTGCAGGTATCGTAGATATAGACAATAGTGATGTGTCACATTCTTATTTTCTTGATTAAGAAATGTTATCTGTTTTTAATATTCCACTGCAGCGATGTAGTCAGTGCTCATTCAGACCTAATACCTATGGATTTAAACTACATGACCTGTGTACAAATAACAATTTGTACATTGCGAATGGTAGAGTTGGTAAAGATAAGCATTTAGGTAAAAAAAACTGTGGTGACGTCAGTGTTGTTGACTATCTAATCGTATCGTCAGGGATATTCCCTTTTATAAATGAATTTGAAGTTCTTGAGTTTGATCCAACAATATCCGATGTGCATTGTAGGTTATTTGTTACTCTCAGTGTCATTTTGAAAAACACAAATGACTGTTGGCCAAGGTCAAGGTCGATAAATAACATGGAAGAATGATAAGAAAAATGAAAAATGAATTAATACATCATGTACAAAGTTGTTCTGTAGATAAATTAAATCATATAAATGATGCACTTAATGTTTTGTCTGACAAAACTTCTGTCAGTAAATCTGAAGTCATTGATGTAGTTAATTATATTTCCGAGTTGTTCCGAACTTCAGCTACCGATACCTCCGGATTAAAACAAAATTATAGAACAATCAATACACATTAAGTTGCTAACGATAAGCCATGGTTTATAGCTGACTGTCACAGAAAAAGGCGTGCCCTTATAGATCCAAAACATAAATATGAAAATCATAGAACCAGTAGTAACCGAGTTAACATGAATAAAACCTCTAGAGACTATAAAAGGTCGTTAAAAAGAGCTATAACACATATAGACATTACATTGAATATCAAATACGAATCACGTCAAAATCAAATCCTAAAGATTTTTGGAATATTTTAAATTCATTCAATAAATCTGAAAATGATAACAGTGATGCTGATATATCTTTGGACGAGTTATATGAATATTTCAAGAAATTTAACAGCTCTGATGAAAATGAGGATGAGGATGAGTTTATTATTCAAGATATGAATGAAAATATGTATGACATTATACTGAATAGTGATGTGACTGAAAATGAAATTAGATAGGTTATAGTTAACCTTCGTAATGATAAAGCGCCGGGTATCGGGGGAAAAGAGGTATCGATAATATCTTAAATGAGCATATCCAAAATACACAGTCTATACTACTACCTATATATGTTTAACTTTTTAATGTTATATTAAACTCTGGCTGTGTACCAGAAGCATGGACAATTTTAGTAATAAAACCCATATACAAAAAAGGGTGGCCCTAAAAATCTCGATAACTATCGAGTTATTACATAAGTCTCATGTCTTGGCAAAGTATTTACTACTATATTACACTAGATTAAATAGACTTTCAGAAGAAATTGATATAATTTCCAAGGTTCAAGCTGGTTTTAGGACAGGCTACTCTACAACTGAAAATATATCTGTCCTTCATGCTTTAATATCTATATACTTTTCAAAATGTAAAAAAACTATTCTGTTCATTCATTGATTTCAGAAAAGAGGTTGATACTGTTTGGAGGGTAGGTAGGTTTAAGGAAGAAATTATTAAAGAATTATATTACAGGAAAGATATTTGATGCTATAATTAACCTGTATACAAACACTAAATCTTGCGTACAAGCTAGCAATGGTATGACTGATTTTTTCATGTCGGGGTAAAACAAGGAGAAAATCTCTCCACATTTTTGTTCTCAATATATTTAAATGATTTAGAAGAATTTTTAATGCAAAATAATGTTGACCAACTCCATGATATAGATAATTTATTTCAAGAACGCATGGGTATATTTGTTAAATTATTTATTCTGCTATATGCAAATGACACAATTTTGTCAGAAACAGCTAAAGGTCTACATGCTTTCCGTGAATTTGAAACTTACTGTACTATTTTGAAACTTATGAAACTAAAGTTGTTATCTTTGAAAAAAGAAAAAGTAATGCACAAAATATTCGTTTTATTCTTTTTGGTGAAGAGTTGCAAACACAGGACAGTCACTAGTTTCCAGGACTACTGTTTCATTATAATGGCAGTTTCTGTAAAGCAAGAAAATAACTTGTTGAACAGACTCAGAAGCAATGTATGCCTTATATAAAAAAAAGAAATATCATTTTACCAATTGACATGCAATTGAAATCTTTTAGTACTCCTCAGAAATTTGGGGTTTGAAAATACCAATATGATTGAGAAATTACATGTACAGTTTTGTAAAAAAATAAAAAAAAAAACATGCGTAGTTCCACAGGAAATTTAATGGTACATGGTGAAACGGGTAGGTACCCTCTGAATATTGATTGAAATTAAATATAGAATGCTAATGTTTTGGTGTAAACTAATTACAGGTGAAAGTAAATTGTCTAGTATAATGTACAAGCTTATGCTGAATTTACATGAAAATGATATCGCTGATTTTAAATAGATTTCATATATCAAGAATCTATTCAATTGCACAGGACTAAGTTACATAATTATGGTTACAACAAAACACTTGCACTATGAATAAAAAATACCTTAGGGTTAGTTTTAAAACTATTCTGTATGACCAATTTATACAACATTGGTATACTGCTATTCAGTATACTGAATTCTTTCAGTTTGAAAAATACTTAACTAGGCTCAAACAAAAAGATAGAATAACTATCTGTAAGTTCAGAACCAGTAATATATCTCTGCCGCCAATAGAGACTGGGCGATGGTCTAGAACATCACGTGAAGACAGAATCTGTCCGCTTTGTTTTACTCGAGTTGGAAGCGAGTATATTTATATTCAAATGCCTATGTAAGTCAAATCTGTAGAAAATACATACCCATTTATCATACCTCTAATCCACCTGTTCATAAAATGCAAGGATTAATATCAATATGCAATATTAGAATATTATCAAATCTATCGCTGTTCATACAATTACTAGAAAGACATTTAAAAAACAATAAGTGAATTTCACACATCAAACTGTAAATTTTTGTATACATATAGAAATTACTGATCATTTTGTTAAACCTAACATAATTGTATTGTATAATGAGTGTGGTTAACAGCTTGTTGATCATGGTTGGTTTGTTATATCCCTGATTGAAGTTATTTGTATATTATTTGTATCTGTCTGTTACAGTATTGTATGATGGGATTGTAATACTGTCTATTATACCTTTGTACTATTATATGTCATGATGAGTATGATAGTCACTATTATGCCATGGTATGATTGCACTGTATGGTGTGGTATACTATCTATAATACATGTATCATGTAGTACGAGTAATATATGTGTGATACTGTAATAATATTATTGTAGGATTGTACTGTAAGATGGATGCAACAGTGCGCCTGCTATACCACTGTGAACGTACGGTATGGCTGAATATGCTGTGTATCATACCATTGTAATAGTATTGTAAAATGAGCGTAATACTGTATATCACGTATGATGAGTGTCATTGTAGGAGCAGTGCGTTATATTGTCTATTATAACAAGGTATGGTAGTTCTATGAACAGTGTAATATTGTGTTTATCATTGTATGGGGAGTGTAATAGTTTCCACTATATTATTGTACGCTTGTATAGTAAGATGAGTGCTTTACGTTCAACCATATCATTGTAATATTGTTCTTTATGATGACCTCTTGTTGCATACAATACTGTGCCTGATTGATAATAAAAATCTCTGAATCTCTGTTAGGCATTTTTCAAGTTAACACATTCACGGTTTTTGAGTCATGTTTTCGGGCATTATAAGTCATGGTTTGGATTGACAACAAGATGATTTGTAAATGCTTGTCCAAATTAAAAAAATCTTCATGTGTCGTAAGTCACCGTCATGATTTGGCAATCATTGACCTGTTGGAGTTGCCTCTTTCATAGTTTGTGAGTCATTGTCACAACTGTTCGCGTTGATTCCTTTATAGTTTGTGAGTCATTGTCACAACTGTTCGCGTTGATTCCTTTATAGTTTGTGAGTCATTGTCACAACTGTTCGCGTTGATTCCTTTATAGTTTGTGAGTCAATTAAAAAAATCTCCATGTGTCGTAAGTCACCGTCATGATTTGGCAATCATTGACCTGTTGGAGTTGCCTCTTTCATAGTTTGTGAGTCATTGTCACAACTGTTCGCGTTGATTCCTTTATAGTTTGTGAGTCATTGTCACAACTGTTCGTGATGACTCCTTTATAGTTTGTGAGTCATTGTCACAACTGTTCGTAATGACTCCTTTATAGTTGGTGCGTCATTGTCACAACTGTTCGTGATGACTCCTTTATAGTTGGTGACTCATTCTCGGATGTTGACTCTAATTGATCCATTCATACTTGGTGATGTCTTTATATCTTGTAGTTATATATATATATATATACGGTATCCTGTTATGTTTCAGAAGATCCTCGTCTTGTTCGGAAAAACTCACTGGCCATAGTAAACAAAGCTCCACCTAATATGATGAAACCTACGACAACAAACATTATTATCATACATACATATTAATATTTATCATATGAATACCGTGTTATGCAGTGTCATAAATTCATCACATAGATTATGTTAAAGTAACGTGTGTAATATCACTCCGGAAATGACGTCACAATCGAATAGGAACAATCAATGTGACGTCACGTCATTGTGAAATGGACGCAATTTGCATCGTTTCAGAAGTGGTCAAAAATATTCGTTTCAGGTCGAAATTATACAGTTAACGTTGTATTCTATGATAAAAAGAATCCGTCATAAGTTTTCCTTCACATTTGATTTATTATAGAAGTTTCGGATTTTTGAGGCGAGCAAATATGAAAAATCAAAAACGATTGTTCCTATTCGATTGTGACGTCATTTCCGGAGTTATATTACACACGTTACATACTCTTAATGTATGTGATGGCTTTATGACATTGCATAACACGGCATTCATATGATACATATATATATCACATGGAAACAAGTGACGAAGGATGACAATTTTATGATTCGTGCCCTCTCCGGGCCTCAAACTCACGACCTACTGAAACCAATCACCTAGTCTAGAAATATACGCAGCTGTTACCACTCCACCACCTCCCCTTCTTTAAAATAGAATGTTCCGATGTTGCTGGTCAACAGCCCCATACTCTGGACATGGTCATAGTGACAAATCGTCTTTTGGTGATACGAGTACCTGGATCACAATGTATATATATATATACATAGATACGAATTGTACAAATATTGTTACTAGTACATATTAAACACAGTACAATCCTGTGGATCAACATACAATAGGTAGATAATCTAAACAACCTTCAGGAACAAAAAAGGGTATCTTACTTCAGCAACCAAGTAGATTTATTGAAATAATTATTGGATACAACAGCATTATATAATGATTTAGCAACAATGGCATAACATATATCAAGTATCTGATAACGACACAGCAAATGAGTTAGTGAAGTTAAGCAAAGTTGTAAGCACAAGAAATGTAATCTGTGAAAACGTGCGCTTGATGTAAATAACAAAAGAGATAAATGAAATGTCTTCAGCAAATGTATCTATAAGATAAGCTGTATCATCGAGATCAAACTAATAAAACTAAACTAACACTAGTATTAAGTTAACACAATATATACAGTGTAGTTAAGTAAAAGCAGATTCCAATGAATCTTTATTCTACAATACAATAAGTAAATGATATTTTCTGGTATGTTTTATTGAGAGATACAACGTTAACCCTACCAGGTGAAAAGGGTGAAAGTCACACTCAAATATTGATACGAAATGGAAATGAAATATTCATTTCCTTCATTTGCAATTAAATGTAGTTATGAAGACTTCTTGTTTGTATTTGTGCCAAATTATAAATTCGCAAAAAGTGAACTAATGATAAACTAATGATTAATTTATTACAAATTAAGGGAAACACTTTCTTAGAAATGTTAAATACTTCAAAAATTAATGAGGGATACTAAAACGAAATATTAAGCTAAGCGGTAGGACTTTACAATATACATTTCATTTGACCTACCTAATACTTGTTATACAATGCATTACAAATTTAATGGATATTTTAAAACTAAAATATATGAATATCACATACGTGAATTGTTATATTTAATATAAACAAATTCGCCTATTTAACTCGGCGACAATGACATTTATTACACTTTTTTTTATTTTTATTTAGATCTTATTTATTTCAAATCACTGTCATATTTTGTTTCTTCTAAACAAACGAAAAAGTGCATGCCTCTTTTCAAATTGAAAGCTTAACCTTCCTCTTTTACTTGCATCCCTTTAGAAAACATGTACACAATAGAGATTGTTGTTGACACCTTCTACTTAAATCAATTCTGTTCATACACACACATGGGAGAATTTTGTTTGCAGTATAGTACAATACCTGTGACAATGAAACACTGGTCATACGTCCCACCATTGTCGAGAAACAGTCCTATCGTATAGAAAAAAATAATGAAAACATTAAAATGTCACAATGTTGATACGTTTATACTGATCAAGTTACCGTAATAACTTCCTTCATGCGTTTAACCAGAGTAATAAATGACAGGTACGTCACTCTTTATCCTTTTTGTAATTTAACTCGGTGTTTTCAGAAAGCTATTACTTGTAAGTGTCCCTTATGTTACCTGTAGCTATTTAATAAGAGCATTACGTTTCATAAGATAATCACAGGAAAGTTGAAAAACCCTGAAAACAAAGAGAGCAGTGCAATAAAAATACACAAAACGTCATTTTACACAATAGTAACATTAATTTGCGAAATGTGAAAGCTAAGACTTATTTGTTGCAAGGACAACACTGTGTATTGTGTTAGATCACACACAGTATCAATAACAATACGATTCTTACAATGTTGCAATGCAAAAATCATTATTTCAGATTTTCACATTTTCCCCCACTTGGTGAAAGATCCGGAATTTAACGGAAGAACTTAACTTCGTAACTAATGTAAGCTCTCTGGTAGGTAGAAGAGGTATTTTCATTTTTTTCTTAAAGCTGTTACATTTTTTTCATACTTGTGTTTCTTACCTCCCCTTGATGTTGAGATGGGGAATTTCCTCCGGAGGGGCAGGATTCTTAAGTTGCCAAACAGAAGGTTTTCCCGAGGGCTTTCTCTATCGGTAATGTTGAGATTTCGGGGGTCAATGTATTGTTAACGCGACGTCTTAAGTTAGTATGAATTGGGAATCCCCTCTGGAGGATATATACAATGTGGTCGATAAATATCTTGTTATTCAAAACAGCACATCGGCAATTTGTCTAAATATGAAATTGAAGGACTTGGGCAGGGTTTTGTTACTAGTGCTGATAAGCTCATCAATACATTTAGCTTCCTATGCAAAAAAATCGGCTAGAACAGGGTCACAGGAACTGATTAAATTTGATCTTGTTTTTTGTAGTACTCTTAACAGAATACACTCCAAAATAATTTACAACTACTGTGTATATAGAATACAATTTTTATGGTTAACCGTAATTATAAACAAACTCACCTGCACATGGAGGACCAGATAATATACCTAGACCAACGGCAAACATCTCAATGCTCACCGCCGTATCCAGATGTCGCAGCCCAACCAGTCGTAAACTCAGTCCATTCAACAACTGGAAGCAACTCCCACTGTATAAACCCAAAAATACAGCATACAGGACTTGTCCCTCGTAATAGTGTCCGTAGAGGGGGAAACAAATAGTTGATATACCCATCACTGAGACTGTTCCGAACAGCATCAGTGCGACGTCCACCTCGTTCCCACTTGTTGCCAGACCAGTGAGAATTCTCGCCGTCATTGAACATATACCAGACACGGAGATAAGGAACGCGCCTTGGAGGGGCGCAGCACCTGTCAGGACTGCATAGTTCGGCAAATTGATAAACATTATGAACATTCCAAACTGGGCAAAGAAAAGACTAAAGCATAACATGACCAATGGAGTATTTCTGAATACACTAGATATTTTAGTTATGGATTGATTTTCCCGATTATGACGAGCTGTTCTGCCATCTGCTCTTTGGGGAGATCTGGATGCTACGTCATTATCTCGACTGGTTGTCCAAATCTCATCCGAATTGGTCACATAATCCATATCCTGAATTCTAGTAGCTTTATTGCTTTTCTCTAATTGTGATGGGAAGTATAATGTTCCAAATATACAAATATGGGCAGAAATTCCAGCCAGGATGAAAAAGAAACCCTTGTTTCCAAATATTTCCCTCATTTCCTGAATGACCGGCGAGAGTCCCAGCACTCCCATGCCTACTCCAGACAGAGCTACCCCACTCGCCAGGTTGAGCTTCTCCTCAAAGTTGAACCCAATCACGACAATGCCCGTCGTATAAGTCAAACCTGCGCCGATGCCTACAAAGTAAGCAGATATCTGATCAACCTATCTGTTCTTTTGTCAGTATCATCGGCTGCACGATACTTGGGCCTTACACCTATTGTCATGTGGACAGGTCTTCATACCATACTATCGTGAATGCAGCATACGTTAAGCAGAATAGAAGTTATTCAATGTGAATGCACATTCTTCGAAACGGTATTTAGTCTTCGGCAATTCATAAATAGACAGGAGGTTTCAACGCACTTTCTCTTGATTTCAACAAGTCATAATATAATCAAGAAACGGTACGGCCAAATGAATCCATATTGGGAACATGTAAGTGAACGTCTGCTCTATCTGTACTTGTATACTGTATCTTGGAGTATTTTAGATTTTTTGTTTTGTTTGTTGGCCCTGGATTTATTGACCCAAAATATCACAATGCCATAAAGATATTGTTGCATTACCTAGATATTGTGGGACGTGTTCCTTTTCATTAAGTTTACAGCAATTTTAAACTATGACGAAATATATAACCATTAACTTACCGGAACGTGACTTGATGCTAATTCTTCCAAGTCTGTCTTGTTATATGAAAACTTGAATGTTACCTACCGAAACCAATATATTTACTCTTCGAAACTGTTATCATCTGAATGCACCGATATTCAACAAACGGAAATCGTAAAAGTTTGACGTGCCAAAATTAAACCAGGCAATTGACTGCAAAAAACTCCAAAGTACAGTAATGGATATGCTGTAATAAAGTCACAAATCGTACCCGCTATTCCTCCGTAAAACAGTATGACTAAGTCTAGAGAATCCAGAAAGGCACAGCAAACGAACCCCGCGGTCATTACCAATGACCCTGCTATGGTTGCTACTCGGCAACTGTACTTCTTGAGGACAAGGCCAGCAAACACACCTGTAAACAGTCGACAAGGTCACTCAGCTGGAACCGTGTGCGTTACAATTAGAACATGTTAAATAAAATGGAAGATATCAGTGCCTACCAGGATCAATGTTTTGGTGTCTTTAGTATGCCGCACATACGCTACACCCTACACTCAGCTCATACCTTTCTGGATTATCTAGTTTATCTAGTGTTCCCTATGTTATTATATTTCTATATGAGTTTTTTTCATTGTTTATTTATCAGTTATTATTGTCTTTCGAAACATTCTATATTCTGCCTTTGTGTGTTGACACTGTGGTATATTTGGTCTTGTGTGTTGACACTGTGGTATATTTGGTCTTGTGTGTTGACACTGTGGTATATTTGGTCTTGTGTGTTGATACTGTGGTATATTTGGTTTTGTGTGTTGATACACTGTTTTTTGTGTGTTGACACTGTAGTATATTTGATCTTGAGTGTTGACACTGTGGTATATTTGGTCTTGTGTGTTGATACTCTGTTTTTGTGTGTGTTGACACTGTGGTATATTTTGTTTTTGTTTGTTGATACTCTGTTTTTTGTGTGTTGACACTGTGGTATATTTGGTCTTGGTTGCTGAAACTGTGGTATATTTGGTCTTGTGTGTTGACACTGTGGTATATTCGGTCTTGTGTGTTGACACTGTGGTATATTTGGTCTGGTGTGTTGATACTCTGTTTTTGTGTGTGTTGACACTGTGGTATATTTGGTCTTGTGTTTTGACACTGTGGTATATTTGGTCTTGTGTGTTGAAACTGTGGTATATTTGGTCTTGTGTGTTGACACTTTGGTATATTTGGTCTTGTGTGTTGACACTGTGGGATATTTGGTCTTGTGTGTTGATACTCTGTTTTTGTGTGTGTTGACACTGTGGTACATTTTGTTTTTGTTTGTTGATACTCTGTTTTTTGTGTGTTGACATTGTGGTATATTTGGTCTTGTGTGTTGACACTGTGGTATATTTGGTCTTGTGTGTTGACACTGTGGTATATTTGGTCTTGTGTGTTGACACTGTGGTATATTTGGTCTTGTGTGTTGACACTGTGGTATATTTGGTCTTGTGTGTTGACACTGTGGTATATTTGGTCTTGTGTGTTGACACTGTGGTATATTTGGTCTTGTGTGTTGACACTGTGGTATATTTGGTCTTGTGTGTTGACACTGTGGTATATTTGGTCTTGTGTGTTGACACTGTGGTATATTTGGTCTTGTGTGTTGACACTGTGGTATATTTGGTCTTGTGTGTTGACACTGTGGTATATTTGGTCTTGTGTGTTGACACTGTGGTATATTTGGTCTTGTGTGTTGACACTGTGGTATATTTGGTCTTGTGTGTTGACACTGTGGTATATTTGGTCTTGTGTGTTGACACTGTGGTATATTTGGTCTTGTGTGTTGACACTGTGGTATATTTGGTCTTGTGTGTTGACACTGTGGTATATTTGGTCTTGTGTGTTGACACTGTGGTATATTTGGTCTTGTGTGTTGACACTGTGGTATATTTGGTCTTGTGTGTTGACACTGTGGTATATTTGGTCTTGTGTGTTGACACTGTGGTATATTTGGTCTTGTGTGTTGACACTGTGGTATATTTGGTCTTGTGTGTTGACACTGTGGTATATTTGGTCTTGTGTGTTGACACTGTGGTATATTTGGTCTTGTGTGTTGACACTGTGGTATATTTGGTCTTGTGTGTTGACACTGTGGTATATTTGGTCTTGTGTGTTGACACTGTGGTATATTTGGTCTTGTGTGTTGACACTGTGGTATATTTGGTCTTGTGTGTTGATACTCTGTTTTTGTGTGTGTTGACACTGTGGTATATTTTGTTTTTGTTTGTTGATACTCTGTTTTTTGTGTGTTGACACTGTGGTATATTTGGTCTTGTGTGTTGACACCGTGGTATATTTGGTCTTGTGTGTTGACACTGTGGCATATTTGGTCTTGTGTGTTGACACTGTGGTATATTTTGTCTTGTGTGTTGACACTGTGGTATATTTGGTCTTGTGGGCTGAAACTGTGGTATATTTGGTCTTGTGTGTTGACACTGTGGCATATTTGGTCTTGTGTGTTGACACTGTGGTATATTTGGGCTTGTGTGTTGACACTGTGGTATATTTGGGCTTGTGTGTTGACACTGTGGTATATTTGGTCTTGTGTGCTGAAACTGTGGTATATTTGGTCTTTTGTGTTGATACACTGTTTTTTGTGTGGTATATTTGGTCTTGTGTGTTGACACTGTGGTATATTTGGGCTTGTGTGTTGATACTCTGTTTTTGTGTTTGTTGACACTCTGGTATATCTTTTCCTTGTGTGTTGACACTGTGGTTTAATTTTCCTTATTATTTAACGCTGTGGTTTGTTTTGCCCTTGTGAGTTGACCCTGTGATATAGTTTGCCCTTGTTATTTGACGCTTTGGTATAGTTTGCCCTTTTGTTTTGGCGCTATGAAATACTTAACCCTGGTGTGTTGATACTGTGGTATATTTTGCCTTCATGTGTCCAGGCTCTTGAATATGTTTTTCTGTGTTTTGAAACTGGTTTGTTTTTGTTCTCTGTATTGATCTCGATATTGTGGTTGACAAGTTGTTACTGTATTGTGCTGCACTGCACTGGAAATAAAGATTCAGTTAAAGTGTAAACTATAACTGTGTTTTGTTTTATTGCTTATATAATCATGTTTGTTGAAGCTACTTTGACAAAACTGTTTCTGGTGATGGAGTGAATAGTTCATATAAAACACCTTTTAGCGTATTTGTACTGACCTCCGCATGACTGCGTCGCCGCGAACAAGGAGCCAGCCAGTGAAGTGCGCATGTTGTTCTCGTTGAAATTCTCAAGTAGAGCGAGGTGAACAACCCCAATTCCCTGTCCTAGACAACCATTGACAACCATAGCTCCAAACGAGGCTCCTAGTACCACCCAAGCCCAGCCTCGATCTGGCTTTGTTAAGGTCACCCTACAATAACTTAAATGATCTTTTTTTTAATACTACAAATCTCATATCATAGTTTGAATTTGCGTATCACAAGAATTCCACAAATTAATATCTTTTGATGACTTAAGCCACAACGTTGCTGGGACATACAGACCGCGATAAATATAGCATATGACGCTTGAAGTGAGATCAGCTATCCAAGATGTATCTGTTGTATAACAAATTGGCGCAGGAAATATAGCCAATATTTAGGAAACTTAGCAAAATTAAAAAAAAACTTTTTTTACAAAATATATAAGTTGATAAAGATATTTCAGACCAATAGTAAGAAATATGAAAAAGGACACAATTACATGAAAAGTGTGTTTGTACCTGCAAACAACCAACAATATAAACATTCTGGTACACCATATGACCATTTCGTCAAATCAAGTCTCATGAATGATTCTTAAGGTCAAGAAAATGACAAATACATGTTTCAAGTTTTCCGTGACATATACAGAATACCACCCTTTTTAACGTTACAAATACCATCACCAGAAAACCATTTTGTAGACGTTTAAACTATAAACACGTTGCAGCAAGAAGGTTACTTGGAAAAGTCAATACGATGGGCCTGCTCGATTTGTTATAAAAGTCATATTCCGATGGCCTCCCGCTGTAACATTTATTTCAATCGAGTGATGCACCCGTTCAGGTGGTTGGCCTTTCACAGGTTCGTTGAGCAAAAACGAGCTTGTCTTTGTGATCTCTTGTTTCAATACGACACTTTCTCTTTTTGCATTCTAAGACAACTTGTGTCAATATTTACGCTTTCAAAATCCATATTTGTCTATTACGATTGGAAACATTTAAATAAATTCATTTCAGCAATTTTTTGAAATATGACGAGAAGAAATCTCTCCATACTAATGTAAAAGAAATGCAACCGATAATTCGAAACTTTTTTTTACGGCATTGCAATATATTGAAATCTTATTCCTGAACAAAAACCCGAACATGTGATTTTTAAGAGCAACTGATAAATCGATAAAAGTTTTCTGAGAGCAAAACTGTAACAGGGCTAGATCGGGAACATAATGCTGGACCATTCCAGTCATATGTTTAATCAAATAATTCGTGATTGTTTCGCCTGCAGTGGGACAGTGATCCTCAAATATATCGAATTTAAATCCCATTTTCTCAAATATTTTGATTCTTTAAGTCACAACAAGCATTCGACGGAAACATGGCCAATGAATCATCAACGATACTAATCTCGTTGATGTAGTTCTCGTATAAACCGTAATAAAAGCTTAAAGTAATTTATTAAACAGACAGATGAGGACGATAAGAAAGAAACTAGACCAAGACACTTTTGAGCTTTATCACGTTGTAAAATACTATATAGTTTGATTTACGTATTTTACACTGATGACAGAAATGGTAAACAAAGAGAGGCCCACTTATTCTGCCTGGGATCGGGTGTAACGCCTATTATATGATGCATATTTAGTAAGTGTACGACTTTTGAGGTTGCTATAAAAGAAAACTCCTGGCGAGAACACAATACCCCGGAGTATCTCGTTTCATGTGTACACATGTGTGTATATTGCTTGAATAAAATGCATTCGTCTTAAAACAAGGTATATCATATCTAAATGAATTTGTAAACCGGGTGTCTTTCACTCCGCTTTAATTAAGATACATTAATTTATATTAGCCTGTCGCTAACCTGTCATCTAAGTTCGCTCCAATGAGAGCGGCACTTGGAGTGTTGAACTATACACACAACTGTTTTAGCAGTTTTAGCTTTTATGACCCAGAGCGTAGAATTATCAGATCTCGCCTGACATGATTTTTTAGGTTCTGCTGATTTGTTGTAGTTTTTGGTGTCTCTTCAGATCCAAGTACAAACGTATTTGCCTTTAGTTCCGACCAAAACGTTCCAATTGTTTTGAATGCTGTCTACATCTACACAAGTGTTATGTACGATGATAAAGCGGGTGTTTATTTTTCTCAATACGGAACATATGGACATTTGTTCACAGATTTGTCACGCATCGTTGGACAAAATGTCTAAATGTGTTATAAAACATATGACGGGGTGTCTAGCTATACAAGCTAATCATTCCACTCCGTTTTAATCAAACGAAAAGGGCAAAAGGAAGTTTCAATATATTGTGAACCGGCTTAATCCATCTGAAAAAAGTTCATTATATTGAGAAACAATAAAATGTTATGTGTGGCTAACATACCCGAGCAACGTAACGAATAACTTCAAGTATATTCTTTTCTATAAAAAGAGTCTTTGCAGAATGCTACTTGTACAAATGTATGTATTTAGATATAAACAATTAAGCATCTAATGATGAACTAACAACATAGATAAGATCGAGCAAAATAAGTATCACCAGTTGACCTACCTTGTCATTATCCCTCCTTTACTTTTAAGCGAAATACCCGTTCTTCGCATAACCTCGACTTCAGAAAATGAACTTTGTCCTTAAATTCACAGAGGCTTTACTTCCGGCTGTATACATCAAGAATTTTACGCAATGTATCAACACATAACTGCCATTTTCAAGTGATCGCTGCAACAAAAGTAATATATATAATGTAACGAATTTTATGTAATGAAAAGTTACAAATAAAAACATATGTTAAACATATTTCTATACTTGTTTGTTAGTCTTTTGACGTCCAAGAAGATCGATTTGTTGAACGAAACCCCTTTACCCAACGGCAACGAACAAGGAAATGTCGACAACCGACGTGCTGGAAGCAAAGGACACTAGCTGCGTCAAGTCCTGTAATTACTCAAACTAATAAATGGTACCCTGTAGTAAGTGTTATACTACCTCAACCTGAAAACATGCAGTTTATACTAGACTCTTACTTATTTATCAAACAGTCTTTGAACTGAAGAGTGTGTGCTTGCTGACAGTATAAGCAAAATAATAACAAACTATGAAATGTTCTTAACATGATATACATGTCTCATGTAATATGGTATATATTTCAGTATGTTTCTTTGCCTTCAAACTTCGCTGTAGTTGTAAATGTACAAATAAACGTTTCAAATTTTATTGTGAATTTGTATTTTCGATGATATCTGCTGACGTATTCACTTAACACCATCATTTCAGTTGTAAGACACGAATGAAACACTGTTTATATTCATCAAGTAGTATGAGAACTACTTGTTCAACATAAACCAGTGTTTCATTTTGTGTGTTTCAACTGAAATGTAAAGTTTAACTATACCTGTTTGTGTCGAGGCTCATTATCGTTATTGAATTTGACAGTTAAACAACATAGTTTAAACTGTTGCAAGCAAATCCCTTTGATATCAAGCGATGTTTACTACGATAATGAGCATCGACTAGTATTTCAGTCTCCTTTCTATAAATAAATAAGAGGCCATTTCAACAGTGATATGAATACGTATTTTATCAGCATACATATATGTCATTAATAATAACCCATACAAAACTCTACTATCTGTTTTTCCACCTCGATGGTCAGAACAAGTTAAGGATCATATCATGTATTGCATACCTTTGAAGAAATGAGATCAAGGGTATTGAACAGAAACAAAATCCTAAATAAAAATTATATCAGCATTGTATCAGTTATACAAGCTCTTGTGTGTTTTTAATCAATCAACGCTGACTTTTATAAGTCTTCTTCACCATGGTTTAGAAAAGAGAGAATTGGGGATGGGGTGTTAGTTTTCGTGTTTCGTTTAAGAAAAATAATAAAACGACATACAATACAAATGTACGTTAAAGACAATTAATACCCCCCCCCCCCCCCCCCCCCATGCTACATGCACGATAACACAAACAGACACCTCAGTCGGTCTTTGCGAATGTATCATTGATGGTTAACAGAGCAATTATATCTGTACGGATTTTCAAGATAGGATAATAAATCCGTACATCTTCTTCATAAATACTTTTCTGATAAAGACTAAGTTTGTTTTGAACACAAACAGGAATTCAAAAATGATTTTGCGAGCTTTCGATAACGTCTGCTTCCTTTGTCAGCAAAGAGTTAAATGAGCGGTGGTCCAATTCTAAACCGCTGAAAAAAACTTACCCAGAGAGAGAAATAGTTTTGTATTTCCGAATCTAGTTACCTACAGAAAGCTTTTGAATAGAGAGATTGACTTTTTAACCTCCTCACGATCCAGACCGTTATCACGTTGTTATCTTACATTTCTTAAAATGACAATTACTTTTGTAGCATACCTTTGATGAAAGGAGATTCAACGTATTTAATAGGAATAAAATCCTAAATAAGGGGTAGGATGATAAATCCGTACACCTTCTTCATTAACAGTTTTTTGGTAAAGTCTAAGTTTGTTTTGAACACAAACAGGAATTGAAACCCTATTTTGCAAGCTTTCGAAAACGTTTGTTTCTTTTAATAAGCAAAGAGTGTAAATGATTAGTGTCTCGCCTTTAAATCACCGAGAACAATTTACCCACTGAGCGATACAATTTTCTGCATTTCTGAATCTAATTACATAAAAAATCCTTTTTGTAGCAAGTGCGAATCCGAAGACTTGTGTCAAACCTATCGAGAACAGCGGTTTTAATCATGAGCCCCCTACAGCTATCAACAATTGAAGGATACCACGTGCGAACTCCGTAAATTATGCAAAAAAATCAACGAAATCAATACATTTCTACTCGTGACATAAGTACACGTAACCTTGAGTACTGAACGAAAAAGCATTGTCTTTGAAATATGGCTTTTTTTTAAAACCGTTGTTTTTATCCGAACGTTGACTGTACGTCAAAAAATAATATGATTGTCTGTCACCCATTCGCGGCATTTAAATCTAAAAATTGTATTCATTCTCGAACCATTGCTTTACATTTTTGGTTTGAATAATTCCTTAAGTTATATAGCAATGTGAAATGTTGGGAAATACACGCGCTATGAAGTTATGACAAATATCCACCAAATGACGTAACTTTGTTGTAACTGTGTTAAACGAATTATCTTTTGTTCTTGTTATAAGAGATATTAACTGACATATTACAGTACAGTTGTTGTAAAATTGTACTCATGCGTACCTATCATGGAATACGAGCATATGAACACGTGTAGAGCATTACAAGTATGGTGTGGTTCGTGGACAAACTCTCAAACTCATACACTCGGGTTGATATTTGCCTCTCTGCTGATCACACCCATGTAAGATATTATATTATTTGTCTAACATGTTTAAAGAACTATTCACGATGTCTTAGACATTTAATTTGTTGACTTTGAGACATAACTGCTGTACAGAAAATGGTTATCCTTTAATTGTACCCTGTTTAACCTCAGTCTTTAAATGTGAGGGTTAATTCGCAGTGGTCTCTCCAATGAGTGTTTCATAAACTAATCAAATATGCTTCACTTGGCATTAATTCGAGGAAAACGTTTATTGTGCTATTATGAGAGAAATGAAATTACTCCGGCGAGTTTTAACTAATGTTTTTGAGTCCTTCATCTTTTATTAGCAATTTTTCAAGCGGAAACATTCATAGTTTTTGAGTCATGTTTTCGGGCATTATAAGTCATTGTTTCAATTGATAACAAAATGATTTGTAAATGTTTGTCCAAATTAGAAACTTTCACGTGTTGTAAATCACTGACATTACTTGGCAATCGTTAACCTGCTGGAGTTGACTCCTTTATAGTTTGTGAGTCATTGTCACAACTGTTCGTGGTGACTCCTTTATAGTTTGTGAGTCATTGTCACAACTGTTCGCGGTGACTCCTTTATAGTTTGTGAGTCATTGTCACAACTGTTCGTGGTGACTCCTTTATAGTTTGTGAGTCATTGTCACAACTGTTCGCGTTGATTCTTTTATAGTTTGTGAGTCATTGTCACAACTATTCGCGTTGATTCCTTTATAGTTTGTGAGTCATTGTCACAACTGTTCGCAGTGACTCCTTTATAGTTTGTGAGTCATTGTCACAACTGTTCGTGGTGACTCCTTTATAGTTTGTGAGTCATTGTTGAGACTATTCGTGTTGAATCCTTTACAGTTTGTGAGTCATTGTCACAACTGTTCGCGTCGACTCCTTTATAGTTTGTGAGTCATTGTCACAACTGTTCGCGTCGACTCCTTTATAGTTTGTGAGTCATTGTCACAACTGTTCGCGTTGATTCCTTTACAGTTTGTGAGTCATTGTTGAGACTATTCGTGTTGAATCCTTTACAGTTTGTGAGTCATTGTCACAACTGTTCGTGGTGATTCCTTTACAGTTTGTGAGTCATTGTCACAACTGTTAGTGGTGATTCCTTTATAGTTTGTGAGTCATTGTCACAACTGTTCGTGGTGACTCCTTTATAGTTTGTGAGTCATTGTTGAGACTATTCGTGTTGAATCCTTTACAGTTTGTGAGTCATTGTCACAACTGTTAGTGGTGATTCCTTTATAGTTTGTGAGTCATTGTCACAACTGTTCGTGGGGACTCCTTTATAGTTTGTGAGTCATTGTCACAACTGTTCGCGTTGATTCCTTTACAGTTTGTGAGTCATTGTTGAGACTATTCGTGGTGACTCCTTTACAGTTTGTGAGTCATTGTCACAACTGTTCGTGGTGATTCCTTTATAGTTTGTGAGTCATTGTCACAACTGTTCGCGTTGATTCCTTTATAGTTTGTGAGTCATTGTCACAACTGTTCGCGTTGATTCCTTTATAGTTTGTGAGTCATTGTCACAACTGTTCGCGTTGATTCCTTTATAGTTTGTGAGTCATTGTCACAACTGTTCGCGTTGATTCCTTTATAGTTTGTGAGTCATTGTCACAACTGTTCGCGTTGATTCCTTTATAGTTTGTGAGTCATTGTCACAACTGTTCGCGTTGATTCCTTTATAGTTTGTGAGTCATTGTCACAACTGTTCGCGTTGATTCCTTTATAGTTTGTGAGTCATTGTCACAACTGTTCGCGTTGATTCCTTTATAGTTTGTGAGTCATTGTCACAACTGTTCGCGTTGATTCCTTTATAGTTTGTGAGTCATTGTCACAACTGTTCGCGTTGATTCCTTTATAGTTTGTGAGTCATTGTCACAACTGTTCGCGTTGATTCCTTTATAGTTTGTGAGTCATTGTCACAACTGTTCGCGTTGATTCCTTTATAGTTTGTGAGTCATTGTCACAACTGTTCGCGTTGATTCCTTTATAGTTTGTGAGTCATTGTCACAACTGTTCGCGTTGATTCCTTTATAGTTTGTGAGTCATTGTCACAACTGTTCGCGTTGATTCCTTTATAGTTTGTGAGTCATTGTCACAACTGTTCGCGTTGATTCCTTTATAGTTTGTGAGTCATTGTCACAACTGTTCGCGTTGATTCCTTTATAGTTTGTGAGTCATTGTCACAACTGTTCGCGTTGATTCCTTTATAGTTTGTGAGTCATTGTCACAACTGTTCGCGTTGATTCCTTTATAGTTTGTGAGTCATTGTCA